TTTTTTTTTTTTTTTTTTTTTCTCTCGAATGAACTGCGACAGTCGGGAAAACTGGATCATAGAGTTCCACCATTCATTCGATTTCGCGCGAATAAGTTCGCAATTAATAGGCACGTAACGCTTTTGCACAAAGTATCGATAATAGCTGCTTGTGTAATCAATCAAAAAGTCGATGCGCAAGGTCGAAATCTAATTCAGTGAAACCTAACTGCGTCAAGGTTCTTTTACAATAGTTTCTAATTTCTTTTTTTTTATTTTAATGTAACTTTCTCAAATGAAAATAAAGTCCAAACTTTTATCATTACACACAGGCTGTTCACTTCCTCCCATTAAGAGGAATAACTTTGTCATATATTTTCGATTAGACTATATTTTAGATTGTTCTCGTCTGTGGTCACCTATAGAATTTAGAATATAAGTGCTTATGAACAAATAAATAAGACGTGGGTTTAGTATATTCTATGTAGTCTATTCCAAGAACACGAAAATATTTCGAAAAGTATGGAAAAAATGTTTCAGACAAAAGTTGTAAGATATAGAAGAGCGCGTGTATGCAACCTCGTAGCAACTGTGTTCGAATTTTTAAATGAATCACTATTTTTTTTTATAGCATATTCTTGCATCTCTGACGTTTCAATTTCTGTACAAGTATTTTTTAACATAAATAAAATGTCGTATTACCTTTCGAAAACATGGCGTTACCTGACGTGTACACCGAGGTTGCCCAATCGAACTTTGCACATCACAGAGTGAAAAATAGTTCTGAAAAAAGCCGATTTCATTATGTGTGCGCGTGTACGTGTATATGTAAATTGTTCAACTTGCTGCATTGTGCTTTTTTGTATTTTTCCTCGATGCAATTTCCTGTTTTACATTTTCTTTAACATTCTATAATATAATAATTCTATAATATTAACGTAAGTATCGAACTGAACAATTTACACACATGGATACATATGTACAGACAGAAAATTGGCTCTTTTTGGGATCATCATGATATATCTTTCAACATGCTGTCGTCTGGATTAGCATTACTCGGTGTATATTGCTCGGTCGAACAATGTACATTGCATGTTTCTGAAAGGTATATAACTCAATAACACATCTTATGAAAAATACATGTATAGATATGTGCCTTCGAAAAATGCCTGGATGTCGGGCATTAGAATACGTTATAATAAAATACCTTACCTCAAGATCACACATATCACTGTTTGCTCTATATTCTACAACTTTCGTTTGAAACGTCTTTTCATATTATTTATACTTTTCGAAATATTTTGGTGTTCTCAGATAAACGAAAGAGAAACATATGCATATTATATACGTAATATACATTATATATATTATATATACATATATACATAATTATGTACACATATAAATTATGTATATAAATATTATGTATATATAATACATTATGTATATAAATATTATGTATATATATACATAATTATGTACATACATATATAAATTATGTACATATATATATGTATACATATATATAATGTACATAATTTATATATACATGTATATAAATATTATGTCTATGACTTTGTCCATTTCCAGTCCAAGGACTTTTAAAAAAAACTAAGTGGTTGTCAAGTTAATAACGAACATCTGTTTTTCTAAAAGATTTGCTAATACTAACTTATTATGCAATTTGCGATAAAATGCGTTTGAAGTTGATTACTTGGGTTATTAACATGTCTGCAGAACTGCTAAATGTTCTCGTTTCTTCCGTTTTGTTTATGCGTTTAAGATTTTTATTTTAGAGGGTAGTTCTGAAATTTTTGAACATTAAACATAAAAGGCAGTCTCCAAATTGGATAACTTTCTAACTACAGAATTGTCTGAAACTCTCGATTGACATTTAATGTCAAGCTGCTCTTGAAATATCGATATGGTGCCCCGTAATTGTTGGAAATGATTTTTTTCTTTTTTTTTTAAATTCTTTTACATTACGTAGAAGACAGAGATTATGTATAATTTACGAATTGTATGAAAAATGATGTTAATTGCAAAATATGATGTAACGTGTGGGATTGATAAAAAAAAAAAAGTTGAAAATCCATCTATGTCTAAAAGTACACTGCTGATCAGAGTTCAAGAATTATCTGACTTGTTGTACGCGGACTACCGGCAAAATGTAGCCAGATATGTATATTTTATAACAAAACCGGCGCGACACGCCGATAGAACCAGCAGATACTGGTTCGAAATGCATTAGGATACAGAAACGACTATTTTTTTCTTTTTTTTTTTTAAATAAACGTTAAAATTGTGCCTCTTGATTATCGAAATGAAAACTAACGACGTCCTAATAAATTTGAAATTAATCAAGTATTCAGTATATTATTAAATAATTAATTTAAATATCCAAGTCAATGATCGATATAATGATACTTCTTGTAATTGGGCTAAATCATAAGTTTAAAACGAAGATGAAAGATAAAATTTTCGTAGCTTAAAGTGTAAAATTTGCATCGCGAAGAAGTACACATATTTGGGAAAATAGGAGTGACTTAAAAATTTACAATGTCTTCACTTTCAGTGTATAATATGTATGTACTGTTTACATAACAATACTTGAAACTACATATATATATATATATATACATATATATATATTTGTTTAATAGAACAATTATCTATTTTCTGTAGTTTTAAATTCACAATTTAACGTAATAGAGACACCCTAAATACACACACTTAGATCGTACAAATTACGAGTTGTCAAGGGATTTTGGCAGCTATAAAAGATACATATATTTACATGTAACTATTATAAGTGTCAAAGTCACAAAACATGGCGGATAAAAGGTTAATCGTTAATCAAATAATCATGCACGATTTATCGAAGTTTAAACCGTGTTTTCGCGGTACAATTCCTTTCAATATGCAAAGTGGAGG